AGTCGGGTAATCATTCATGTCTCGTTTCTAACCTTTTTCGTTCCACTGCTGGTGACCGGTGTGCTCTCTGCCATACTTAATGAATACAACCCTTCAGTTATTTCTTTGCATAAACTTTTCAGTCCATAGAACAAACCAAAAGAGCTAGTAAAACGAAAAAGGTTAGAAACGAGACATGAATGATTACCCGACTAATTAAGGAAGAATAAATATAGGAAGGAAAAATATAAGCAAAATTGGTACACGCAGACGTTCATTAAAGGACCCAGGTTGGCAAAACTCCAACGCCAGATCGTTGTGGGACCGCGGTCAGTAGGAGAGTTGAGGACCTTCCTTGTCAGGTCAGTGCTGAGGCTCGAAGTCCATCGCAGTTCGAAGGGATGTGAAATCGGGATAGTTTGCCCCTGATTCGATCTATTCTTCTTCACAATTTAATGAAAGGAGCCACCCAGGTCCAAGAGTGGGGTGGGCGTGGTTGCCGGGTATGTTTACAGCGTGAAGTTCACGGCACGCAATGGACAATGAATGCAGTTTTACGAGTCACGACCTTGGCATGAGGTCTGTTCTGCTCATCTTATCGATCATTATTGGGTAGGTCTCTTAAGCAGTTACCTTCAGGTGTTGTTCAATTACTAAGACTCCTCAAATTCACAGGTATTCACAGAAAGTTCGCCTACGGGCTTTATTTAGCGTGCTGGTACGACCTTGTAACATTAGTTCTTGACATTGGTTCCACAACAAGGTTTCAGATCACACCAAGGTGCTGTCACAGTTGAGGGCTACATCTCAACCGCGAGACCTCCTTCCTCCTTTTTTCTACCTATTTCCTATTTTCCTTCCTTCTTTCTTTCCACTCGTTCTTGTTCGTCTCCATTGAAATGCTTGACAAGAAGATGCAACAGAAGAACGCTTCTGTACCCTCTCAGCGAAAATATAAAGTTGACAGATGTTCTGTAACCTACTTAGGATAGCAGTGATTACCCACTTTATGGAACTCTTCTCAACGTGTCGTGACACATCATAATAGGTTGC